CTGCTTACTCTATCAAGAGCCACCCCTACTGCCTCAGATGTCACCTCAACTTGCCTCCAGTCCTGGGGTGCAACCCAGTTCTCTAGGAGGCAAGCCACCTCAGACCACATACCCATTGGGCGATGATCCACTGGTTCCCCATTCACAGGGGTAGCCCACTGAAACACCCCTCCTATAAACGCAGCCTGTCTTTTTCCTTGGTCAACAACGAATCCTGCCGACTACGCCAATTGTCTTGCCAGTGGGTTTCAGCCCCGGGCAAGTTCTCTATGGATTCTGTGTGACTAAATAAATTGACAGCAAAACGTTCTTTGGGGTGAAAGGGTTTATTACTGGCTTGTTCTCTGGGTGGTAGGTCAAGCACTAGTGTCTCTGCCTGGGGCCAAGCTCTCTATGTAGCACAGTAATAGCTTATTGCCTAAAGTTGTGGAAGCGGTAGCCTAGCAACAGGCCAGTTACATCATCAGGTGGTTTAAGTTCAGTGAGAATCCTGGCCATAGGAACCCCAACTTCCCCATAGTAATAAATGCAGACTAAAGTTTATATCTCATATTATGCTTCATACTATGCTCCAAAACTAAGGATATCACCCTGATTATCATTACTCATTTTGTCTTATGTAGATGCTTTTGTTTTTAAAATTAAAATGGCCTGAAGAATTTAAAAATGACTAGTAGGGATACAAAGTTGTATAAAATAAATTGAAGAAACAAGGGAACTTACTGAAGTAATGGAGATGCTACATAACTGGATAGAGGGGTATGGGTTACACAGGAATATGCATTTGTCAAAACTGGCCAGAGAGCACACTTGAATCTGTATTTCACTCTGTGAAAATTTCTCCTAAGTTAACAACAAAAAAGGAATTTGGTCCCAAGCCCTTTCAGCCAGGACTACCACTTCAAAAGTAATTAGGACTGTTACACAGTGTGCTACAATTTTCTTACCTGCTGTTCTCTCTGAACACTTGACTTCTCCCCAGCTTTGACTTGTTTTCCCTCATCCCATTAATTAGATGTGCTTGAGCCCCTCTTGACATCACTACCTTCTTATTGATTTAGCCAAAATGATTTTTGTCCTTCTGTATACTAGAATATCCTAAAGAGTTGGGCAAAAACATCTTGGTGTATAGGAAACAAAGCTGTAGGCAGTATTTCTGAAATGTGTAGCAGCAAGTTTACCACTGCTGGATAATACTATTGGCAAACTTCCTTACTGGCTCATTTAGAAAAAGTAGTATTTCCTATCATGCAGCTGTTGCTATCAGATGCATAAGTGAGTGAATAAAAATAAATAAATAGGCAAAAAGCTCCCAGACCTAAAGAACACTTTTATATGAGTCCTGGAGCATAGAAAGGAAAAATAAAGCAACTGTCATAGATGATTTAGCTTTAAAGCTGCTAGTCTAAGTTAAGCCTAGTATAAGCAACATATCACACTGGACTCCACCTTTGAACTGAAAATTTTTTCTTATATACCCAGTTCAGCTGCTTGTAACCATCAGCATTTTTGGAAATGTGCCATTAAATTTTTAGCAAACACGTTTGGAAAATTTTTATGAAAACTTCACCAAATAGTTAATACTTCTCTTGAAGTCACTAAATAGGACTCTTTAATTAGCTCTTAAAATTTTTCATGAGAGGAAAGGCATGGGAAATCAGCAGTCCTGAGTTTAGTCCTAGCTCAGATTTGTGGTCATGATACCAAAGACCTTCAGCGTTTGCTGGGATTGTCTCACACAGCATGTATTACTCATTAAGAAAATGGAATGGGTGTTTATAAAGGGACAGGAGTTCATCCACACATCTTCTGCCTTGTTGCTGTTCTGTTTTCCTCGCAACTTTGGAAATGAATGAAAGTGATATGTATGGGGCATACTGGGGTAGTCTTGCTTGGACAATGAAGAATACAGTCAAGTGGCAGAAGCTGAAATTTGGCATCTTTTAAAATGATTGTTATTTTAACATAGACTTAGCAGTTTATTGCCATTTAGCTTTAGAAACATGGGTGTAACTGATATGCCAAATGCATCCATGATCTTCGGGCGTAAAGTTTCCTTTGGGGATGCCCTCTTCTCCCTTGCGGAATCTCTAGCCTTTCTTTTGCCCCTTCTTTCCCTTGCTCCACAGATACATAGAGTCCTTCTGTGGCCCGCTACTGTGGGAAAAATAGAAGTTCCCATGGCCAGGATCCTCACCTGAACCTAAACTGCTTGGATCCTACTGCTAGGCTGCTGCTTCCACACCCACAGGCAATCAGCTATTGACTGAGTAACTATGTAAAGAGCTCTGCCCAGTGCAGATGTAATTCTTGTGCTCAGCCTATGGCCAGGAGGACAAGCTGGGTAATAAACCCTTTTACCCCAAGAATGTTTCATTATCATTCTTCAGTCTCACTGAATTCATAATGAACTTGCCTGGGGCTGAAACCCATTGGCAAGACACCTAGCCAGCCAGTGGTCCCCAGGCTGCACTCCTCTTTTTACAAATATCTTTCTTTTTTCTGTCCCCAGTAAAAATATCCACTCTCTTGGTCAACAAGGTGTTGATCTTATTTTGATAACCCAAATAAAGGAAATTTAATTTTGGGGTGGTTATAGGAAAGTGTTTGCACTTTCAGAGTGTTTTGTTATAAATGTGCTACACACACAGTGGTGTAAAGATATTTTGTGTCTTTTTTCTAAACACTGCCATGTCTACCTCATTAAGAGTATTTCTCTCTGCTAAACCCATCAGCCAGAAAACCAAATGCATGGAGCCAGCATGATAGGCATCTTCCATTAACTCAATGCCCCTTCCTCTTTCAAAATGGCCTTAATACTGAGTAAAAAAAGTGGCATTCCTTAGATTAAGAGTTGGGTTGTCCCAGTCATCTGCAAATAAGTGAGACAGAATTCCTTAAGGTAAGATGCCTTTTATTATAGATTTGGAAAAAAAATTTAGAGTAGTGTGGAGAAAATGGAAGTTCCTATGGCCAGGATTCTTACCTGACCCTGGTCAGCTTGCTCACTACACACGTGTGGGCAATACATTATTACTGACTCTATATAAAGAGCCCCTCCCAGTGCTCTGGGCTGCAGGAGAGCAGAGGCTGGAGTGGTGGCAGTGCCTAAGGCAGAGACCAACTTGCTGCATGAAGACTTGCTCTGAGGTGGATAGATTCTTGTGCTTGACTTGCCACTGTGGGAATAAAGTTAGGTATAAATGCTTTCACCCCCAAAACGTTCCACTGTCATTTTTCATTCTCACTGAATCAAGAATGAACTTGCCCAGGGTTGAAACCCATTGGCAAGGCAAGTAGAATAGCAGATTCCTACTTGCTTTAGATAAGGAGGACTTACATAAAATATCAAAAAGCCTCAGAAATATATACACATTAAATGTAACTCATTTAACTACATAGACAAATTTGAAATACCAATAGTAAAAAAAAAAACCCATGCTAAAAACATTTTTAAACACGGAATAGATCATAGAAGTTTAGCTTTAGTTAAGCTTTGTCATCACTTTTCATTCCTACCCAGTGCCATTCCGACATGCTAAAATTTTAAATATTCCATCCAAATAAAGGCAGAGATAGAATTAAAAGTAGTTATTCTGCATCTTCATATGCACTTAAGAAATGCAAAGAATCTTCCTAACAGCCTTTACTGGCCCTGGAGGGAGCAGGTCAAGAGGGGTCAGTATCACACAGCTGATATTTCAGTGGATGATTGTCCTCAGAGTAAATAGAAAAGGGAATGTCTATTTTCAGCTCCCTGATCTAATGGCCATGCCATTTAAAAATGTTAACTTATGATAATGGGTACTTTACCTGAATAGTTATTATTTTTCCTCCTTAATGTATTTAAGTTGAGTAGAAACATTTCAACATAGCACAGTTTCTTTCAGGAGTCTAGCTCTGCTTTTCTCAACAGGTCTCTATGAGAGAATGGAGCCCCAGTGACCTAAGTGAGTGGTTCTCAAATTGAGATCTGTGGACCAGTAGCATTAGCAATACTTGGGAGCCTGTTAGAAATGCAAATTCTTGATCCCCACCCCAAACAAAGTAAGTCAGAATGAGGTGAGAAGCAGTGATTGGTGGTCTAATAAGTTTTTCAGGTACTTTGAGGCACCCTGAGGTTTCAGGACCACTGCCCTAAGACATCCATTGCATATAATGAATGAACTTATTTCTAGGATGGTACTAGTTGCCTAGCTACATTTCAACCTAGCATAGCTTCTTTTAGTAGACCAGATATAATTACTAATTCTCAGACACTGTAATTTTTGCTCTGAAGCTTGGAACACTAATCAATCCCTCTCCTACCCTCACCCCAAGATGATTCTACCATATTCTAATTATTGGGTAGGAAAATTAAAATATTAGCTTTTTTCCTGTTATGTTTAAACACAAATCATATAAACTTCTGTCATTTAACTTCCAAATAGTGAATTTTCTTATCCCCAATGGGAATACTTACTGTTTACATATAATTTTTTCTTTAAGATGATGGATGTTCCTATGGCCAGGATCCTCACCTGACCCTAAACTAATTGATTATGTAATGGCCTACTGCTAGGCTAATGCTGTCACACCCATAGGCAATAAGCTATTATTGACTGAGTCTCTGGGCAGAGACAGAGATGGACGTAGATCGCAGACCTGCAGATGCTGAATGCAGACATGATTATAGTGCTTGACCTACCACTGTGAGAATAAAGCCCAGTATATATAAACCCTTTTACTCCAAGAATGTTCTGTTGTCATTTCTCAGTCTCACTGAATCTTGGTCTTGCTGAAACCCTCAGACAAGACAGACCATTATTGAGATGTTTGAATACACAGGGTAAATAAAGACTACTTGTACTTTTAGGATAAATACTTGATAGCTACTTTTAAAGAATATACTCCTTTTAAAAGTGTAATAAGTAGTACAAAAAATATGCATCTTGGGTAGTTTCCTTTCCTGCTACAAAAATTGCATCATATAATTCTTGTCACAATCAACTTTTTCACAGGAGAAGAAAAGGTTAACAATTAACAACGTAGCTCGAAAGTGGGACTTGCAACAACACCGAGTAACCAATATCACTACAAATCAAAATAGAAAAGAGTTTGACTCTCCTCAGGACCCCTGTCAGATGGATGGAAGCACCATCTCTGCATTTCCAGAGGAAACAGGGTATGCAATGGTCTTTCCAGATACTAGTGTCTTTGCAGTATTGAATTTGAAGCAAAACTGGTAAATCATTTCACATATAATTATTTTTAAATAGTTATCTTAAGAAAACCTACTGAAATTAGAAGTTTAAATTTAAAAATTAAGATGGAAATAATGAAAATACAAACTGAACTCATTAAAAAAAAACTTTCAGGAGTTTCCTATTTCTCATAAAAAAAAAAAAATCTAGATTACTTCGGATAGCCTATGAAGCCCTCTACCTACTTCACCTGCTTTATTCCAAAGCATCGGCCACCCTGTTCTCATGCTGCAGCCTCACTAACTTAGTCAGTTAATTCCTCCCTCAGAGCCTTTCTCCTAGAAACAGTTGTATAATAATCCCCACCACCACTCCCTGCCCCTCCCCCCTCCCCCTGCCTCGGCCAACTCCAACTCAGCCTCGAGGTCTTACATCCCCGGAAAAGCGTTCCCTAACTACTTCCTGGAGGCTGACCTGGATCAGGTACCGCCCAGTGCTCTGCTGGTAAGTGCACTTACCGCATCCATCATTCAGTAACTAGTGAATAATGAGCTGTTCATAATCTGCCTTCCCTTCTAGAATATAAGCGTCAAGAGGAAAGGAATCCTGCTTGTCTTAACCTCTCTTGTGTCCCCAGAAACCCCAAAACTTACTCCTTAACGAGTAGTATTGTGCAATTTGGCATTAAATCTGAGTAATTACTCCAGTTGCATCTCTCTTTTCTCTCTCTCTCTCTCTCTCTATATATATAGGCATATATATAGAGAGAGATATTACATTATAATATCTATATAGATGACTCTATAATGTCTGTCTATTCCAGTGGCTCACAGTCTCTTTTCTTCTATGATTTATGAGGATTTTCTTCTCTGGTTTATGAGGAAATATGAGTACACTATCGAGTCTTCACATATTTTTATTCCTCTCAAGAAAGCATATTGGAATCAAGTAAAAGAGAAGAATATAAAGCATATATATCTTGTAGTTTATTTATAATTTTTAAAATATACATAATTTTAAAATAAATCCTACAGGTCAAAGATAGAATGCATTTCAATTTTGTCTTAGTTGATGAGTCAGCTAATGACCTTAACCAAATTCTGAGACGTTTCAAACTAAATATAATACAGCTTTTATTTCAAGTTTTTAGCCAGTATTATATTAGCTTTCTACATATAAAGAATGTAATAAGGAAAAGAATTTAAGAGGCATTAGAATAAGAATAATATTTTGGAAATTTTCTGGAGTTAAAGAGTTTGACACATAGTTAGATAAATATACTTTAAAATTTTTAGTTGTAGGATTAATTTATATTGGTCAATGCACTTCTTTTAGCTCACTTGGATATCCAAATGTAGAGCTCCACAGCTCTCTCAACTAGAAAAATAGAGCGACAGAACAGAAATTCTAATTAAGTGATACTTTATATAACAAATATATCATTCTCCTATTGCCCTCAAGCTTTATTTAATATCATTAAAATTTCAGAATAAAATTGTACTTGGTTAGAACTGTAACACTTTTTAAAAGTTGAAACATTATAGGACTGGGCTTTAGATTTATGAAATTCTACACAAGTTAGTTCTATTTCTAATTTCTCTTTTTTAAAGTATATTTTTCCTGTCTTCCTTGAGAAATGTTCCTAGTTCTGAGTTTATCCAAATAATCTTGAAAATATTATTCTAAACTTTTAATAAGTCTGTAAAAGTCTTTTATACATCAACTTTATTTTTATATATGGTATTGGGAAAGAGGCTAACTTGGTTTTATTTCAATTGACTAGTCAGTTCACTTATAGCTTTCCTTAGTAAAACTATTCTCTTTTTTAATGAGAATGCCACTTTCATCTATTAAATTCCCATAAATATTTAGATATTTCTGGACTTTCTCTTCCTTTACACTGATCTACTTATCTGTCTTAATGCCAACAGCAGACTATTTTGATTATAGTCATTTTGTAGGAAGTTTTAATGTCTAGTAGAGGAAGTCTACTTTCAACTATTTCGACTATTCAAAGTTCCGATTCTCACACACTGAGAAGTCACACATGTAAAGTTCTTACATATGAACTTTAAAATCATTTAATCTAAATACAATGTTAAGAATCTTAGTCAAATGGCAATTAAGTTATTCTTTACAGAAGGTTTGACATTCTCAAGATAATATATCATCATTTTAATCATGGTATATATCTCCACTTTTTCAGGTTTTGTTTTGTATCCAGGGGGAGCTAGAGTGAGTATTCCAGGAGCACAGAGTACCTAGGTATAAAAGTAGAGAAGCTAAATACCTGCTAAAGAATAAGGAGACAATGGATCAAAGATAAGAAATAAAATATTCAAGTATAATGACAAAAGTGAAATGATGGGTCATATAGTCTAGGCTGGATTTCTAAGGAATAAAAAACAAAGTTGCCAACAGGTTGAGAAAAAATTTAGTATTTCTGGGACTGGAGTTGAAGATGAGAAGTACATGTTGTAAGAGGTCTAATAGCTGGAACAGTGGGAATTTATGGTCAGAATAAGGTTATGGAGATTTTACAGCTGGAATGCATCTAAGTAATGGCAACATTAAGAGCAATTTGGAGGCCATTACTGTGACCACAGGAGTGAGTTGTTGGAGAAGAGCAGATGTGCAGGTCATCAGAGGGAGATTAGTTGAAGCTACTATTGTAGACTTTGGAGTTACTGATGGCAGAACTAGGGGTGGAACCAAGGGCCAAAACATTTAACAATGACCACCACCCTTATCTCTTCCGATCTCAGTCATGCATCCTAGGCTTTCATTACAGGGCTGTTCACTGTTCAGGTTTTAAAGTGTTGACAGCTGCAATGAGTGTAGGAGTCTTTGTTTCCTGATTGGCTCTTTTACCTGGCAAAACTACCTCTGATAGGTGGGTTCCAGATTATTAATGTGACTTTCCTAGCTCTTTTAACTTTTTAAGCAGTATATGGCCAAAAATTCTGTGACCCTCTACAATAATTTAAAAGTATTGAGTCTTTGCTTTTATGGTCTTAAAAACAAGCAATCAGTTCCAAGAGAAAGAGGCCGTATCTGTTAGTGAAAAGGGTTCTCAATAGGAGTTCCACAAAGACAGAGGCTTTTAAAGCAAGGAGCACAAAGGAGGAGTTGGGAGAAACGGGGAAAACGGTGTGTGGGTTCAATGGAGAGGATATGGAGAGTAACAACGAATCATTATGAAGGGGATCCACAATTTCTACCACAGGATTTATTTTCTACTGATGTAAGTTCAAAGCACCATGGAGACACCGTTACATTATCCTTGACCCTTTGAATAACTATTAAATCAAGAAGACACAGATGATATTTGAAGTTGGAAAAATACAATGTAAAATCAGTTACTTACAACTTCTAGTGGTTGTAGCTAATTTCTTCAATTTAGTTTGTTATCCAATTCCTGTAAAATCTTGTATCAGAAAGGTAAAACTATTCTCAAAGGGCTTACTATACCCTACATATGTCTGCACTACGGGCTCTCAACCAGAGGATCCAGGATGACACTTTGACCTGTGAGTAGTTATTTTCCTTGCGCTCTCCACAACATTGGCATAGTTGACACTCTTCATTGTTGAAAGGCTCTTGGCACTGACTTTCTTGATAATACATTCACTGATTTTCCTTCTACCTATGTGGCTATTCTTTTTTTCTTTAATTATATCTTGCTAACTAACTCCTTTTCCACCAAATCTCTAAAGGTGTATCATGCTATTTCTTCTTTTATAAGATTTAGATAAATGTTTTATAATAGGATTCAGCTCTCTCACCTTTTTTCCTCCCAACATTATACACACGCACACACACACACACATTCTTTGCTAGTAATTTTTGTAATGTATATTAAACCTCAGTTTTTTGTTTCATCTGTTATAATATCTCTCAACTCTGCACTGTGCAAGATGACTTTAAATACCATTTATATTTTGAAGATACCAATATGTGTACCTTTTCTCTTATGTTTTACCACTGATTTATGTTTAAGGGAAAAAAATCCTTTCCACATTGAGAGTATAAAAATATTCCCACATTTTATCCTCGTAAAGGTTTAAAATTTGACCTTTCATCGTCTTACACTGAAACTGACCTTTAAGCTTGAGATTGAGGTCGGATCTGTTTGTTTTTCCCCTGTAGGAATAACGACTTGCCCTGGTGCTGTTTATTGAGTGTTCCTTCCTTTCCCACCCATGTGCAGTCCTACTCTGCGTGCATGTTTCGTGGCAGTGGGAGAAGTGGGTGGTAGGGTCCCTTTACAGACCTTCAGTTAATGCCCCCGCATTCAGTCTTATTTGTCACTCCCATCTTCCATCATGTCTGCTGTTCTTTCCAAAGTGCTACTGGGTAGTTTGGGTGTCCCTGTTCTTGTCCCCAGTATGTATTCAAAGCTGTGGCTCCCTTTGTTCTTCTTTCCATTCAACATTCTTTGCTTTCCAGCTTCTACAAATTTTCTGAAACTTCTTGCTGCATATTTTCCCCCACTATTTTGCTTGTTGTTGTGGGTTAACACCATTTTACTTTTTCACACACACACACACATTCTTTGCTAGTAATTTTTGTAATGTATATTAAACCTCAGTTTTTTGTTTCATCTGTTATAATATCTCTCAACTCTGCACTGTGCAAGATGACTTTAAATACCATTTATATTTTGAAGATACCAATATGTGTACCTTTTCTCTTATGTTTTACCACTGATTTATGTTTAAGGGAAAAAAATCCTTTCCACATTGAGAGTATAAAAATATTCCCACATTTTATCCTCGTAAAGGTTTAAAATTTGACCTTTCATCGTCTTACACTGAAACTGACCTTTAAGCTTGAGATTGAGGTCGGATCTGTTTGTTTTTCCCCTGTAGGAATAACGACTTGCCCTGGTGCTGTTTATTGAGTGTTCCTTCCTTTCCCACCCATGTGCAGTCCTACTCTGCGTGCATGTTTCGTGGCAGTGGGAGAAGTGGGTGGTAGGGTCCCTTTACAGACCTTCAGTTAATGCCCCCGCATTCAGTCTTATTTGTCACTCCCATCTTCCATCATGTCTGCTGTTCTTTCCAAAGTGCTACTGGGTAGTTTGGGTGTCCCTGTTCTTGTCCCCAGTATGTATTCAAAGCTGTGGCTCCCTTTGTTCTTCTTTCCATTCAACATTCTTTGCTTTCCAGCTTCTACAAATTTTCTGAAACTTCTTGCTGCATATTTTCCCCCACTATTTTGCTTGTTGTTGTGGGTTAACACCATTTTACTTTTAATGGAGTCTTAAAGGCAGAGTTTTCAAGCACATGTGTTCCGTTTCTCTGCTATTTAATCTGAAAGTACAAAGTGAAGTGTTTTAAATACTGGAAGTTGTATTTCTGTATTCTCTGTAAGTCTTTAAAAATATATAATTAGATTTAATATAATTAAATATCTTTCTGGAATGGTATATACACATAGATCTTTCTGAAGGTAGAAAGCTAATCTGAGGGCCACAGAGTCCCCTAACTTAGGGTTCCAATTTGTTTTTTAATAGTATGTAAGGTTTTCCATTTTTCACAATCCCATTTATAATCTTTGTATTTCATAATGCCAAAAAAGTGGCTAATTTTTGTGTTAAGGTGTCTGTGACCTTTGGCTTATGGGTGTGTAACTAAATGCCTGGAAACAAGTATCCATGAAAAAATTATAGGCACATAAAGGAAAGAAATTCCGTAAAACTTTGGTTTATCCCATTAATTATTTCACTGTTCACTGTAGTTGGGAGAGCTCTGCAGTAAAGTGACATATTGCAGGTTTCTTTTCGTTGCCAGAAATGGGAAAGTACATGGTGTAATGTTTTCTTTGCTTACATTGGATGCATGCAGTGAAGCTGGTTTATTTTTGGTCATTTCCTGTCTGTGGTACTTTAGCCAACAGTACCCCAATAAAATATAATGTATAAAATGAATTTCCACACCTATGAATGTTGTAATAGAAATTCATAAAATACGTTATTATAGGAGTCAGCACCACTTATTCACTGGGAAAAGAATCTTCTGAAATATTTTAAATCTTTCTGTTCTAGCCTGTTATAGAAAGTGTAAAGATTAAATAAAAACAATAAACTCCCATAGTTCTCTGAAATATTGTCTTTTTTATTCCATTTAGGCATTTAGGAGTATATTCTCCATTTAGCCTGACTTTCAAAGACTCATTACTTTATTGTATTAAGTTTATCACCTTGTCTTTCCTAAGAGTCCTCTACTAATCAAGAAAGCATAGAATATTTTTCTGATTCATTCTTATATAAAGATCAAGTTGAATTAATGAACATTCGGACTCGGAATTAACCCCTTGATCTTGAAAAGAATTCCTATTTGATGGCAGACTGCCTACTGTTATGTAATATTGAGCTGGGAAATGTACTTGGAAATATATTGGACTTCATGGAAAAACAAATTTCAAAACATTGTTCCTCCATAGAAGAATATCACATTTCTTGTAGTGTAAATTTAAACTAAACAAGGGTAGAAAACTGGACCAGGTAACCCAGACACCTACTCTAAAAATTTGAGTCACGCTTGATTCCTCCCTTTATTCCCCACAGTCAGTCATGAAGTCCTACTTTGATTTTCCTTTAGGTGTCTGGTATATCTATGTTTCTTCTTTTACTAATAATCAGTAAAATATATTGAGCTAAGTATGAAGTATGGTTTAGAATATTATTTCTAATCTTCGTAACAACCCTGAAAAAATATGTGTTATGATCACTACTGTACATACAAGGAAACTGAAGCTACAAAGAAGTTAAATAACTTGTCCAAAAAGACATCTGTTTACCAATAACAGATTTAGAATCTGAACTAAGATCTGTCCTTTCTTGCCAATGCCGTTTCCAGTACACCATATCCTCTTCTTTGTTACGCCCTCGTACGGCGTGACCGACACTATTGCACTCGTCTTTTTGCTACTCTCCCTCCATCGAGCCCTTGCCCGCTGCGTCTTCCACACACTGGACCAACTTACTTGTCTAAAGTGGATCCTTGACGATAGACGACAGATCTTGAAGATACTCATTCATCTTTGTATTCCCAGCCCCAGATCTGGCTTCACACATGGCACATTGGAGGTCCTTAAAATCCTGCACTGAACATGGTCCTATTGCTTTTTTGTTTTAAAATCTTTTTCTGTCAACCTTTAGGACAAAGTCTGACTTCTAAGTTTCATCTTCAAGTACAACTCCCCCAGGTCTCAGTGTTCCAGCCATGTTGAAATAGTTCTTGCTGGAATGTGTTGTATTCGTACTGACATGGAAAGATATCCATGGTATATTATATGGATTGTTTTAAAACTAAATAGAATATCAATTATCTTTCACTGATATAAATAATTTGGGTTTAAAGGTAGTATTTTTTGTTCCTATGTGCCTTTTCTTTAGTTAAAATATATGACTGGAAAAATAGAAAATTTCCAGATATTCTTTTGATACCTTAGTTTTTGGTGATCTGGGTTTAATTATTGAAATGAAAAAGTGAATGTAAATTTTTCAAATACTTTTTCCAACATGTGTCTATATTCTGTTATTTACTTTGCCTGATAAGACTTTCATTTAAAATTATTTGTTGCATTTTCCAGGTCTCTGGACTCAGGACTCGCCAGTGTGACAGACACACACCTTGTTGAAGTGGATGGGGACACACTTGCCCTGTATGGCTCAGGAGCCCTGGAATCTTTAGATCGGAATTGGAGTGTTCAAACAGCAGGAATGGTGACAACCGTGTCCTTCGCTTTCATAGAATTTGATGAAATCGTCCAAGTGCTTCCCAAATTGAAGATTAAGTTTCCTAATTCTCTGGTAAACATTTCCTTTTAGAAGTATATCTGAATTATTCTCTGTTATGACTTTTGTGTTCAGAACAAAGACCTGTTTTACCTTTTATTACATAGTTTCTATCTGGCAGGAAGATTAAGCTTTTGTGTTGATTTCCAAGATCTGGGATTTAAATAAGTATTCACAAACAGCTTTGCAGTTTTCTGTTAATATTGGAAATTATCTCCCTAGAAAGTGATTCTTTATGGAATATAAAAGGACTGACATAATTGTATTCATATTATATACTTCTGCTTTACCAGCTGTTCAACAGAACCTCACCTAACCCTATATTATGTATTAATTTGTTGTACCTGGTATTAATGGGACATGTACATTTATATTTAATTTTTATAGTATTCCCCTAACAAAATTTAAAATATTTTCATAGCTCATTAAATTTCCTTTGAGAAATGAGCCTTTTCCAGATATGGTATTATTGTATTATTTATTAGGATGCATTTGCAGAAACTGATATCTGTGAAGATCTCTGTTGAGTTTTTATTGTTGTTATTTTCTCTGTTAGCCAAGTGTTTTCCCTCACCTAGCCTTTTATCATGTTTTTTCTATTGCCACATTATCCTCCCTAAAGAAGATAGAAGGAGAGACACAGTATGTTTAGAAAAGAGCATCTAGTTTGACAGACTCCAGGACACTTACTTACATTAACATTTCAATTTTGGTGATCTATTTTCCTGTAGCCAGTTTAGCTAGCCCGCATAGTAATTGGCAAGATACAGGTAGTAATGGCTAATTAGTTCTTCTCAGAAGCATTGTGAGCCCTGTATTTATAAAGTTCTGAAAGTTTCATTTCCAATATATCCTTTGTAGATTTAATTTCAGTGTAAAGCATGTAAAATCATAATGCCTGAGTCTGTATTATTGCATATTTATGTAATTTAAAGAATCCTCATTTGTTAATAAATGGGGGGATGTCCTTTGCAGAAGTGATACCACTTTAAATTCATATTGGATGGACTAATGGATTCCATCATTGATCATTAGATGAATTAAAGTTGCGTAAGTGTAGCACATTCAGTTGACTTAATATAATTGAAAACATATTAGCTAAGCCTAAAGTTTACAGATTTACAGAATATTTAATGTTAATATTTTAAGATGGTTAAACTCAATGTTCAGCTCTTTTTTGTGTGTATTTTATTATTGCAGCACCTTAAATTCAAGGAAACAAATCTTGTAATGCTGCAGCAATTTAATGCACTGGCACAACTCCGTCGCATTGACCAGTTGACAATCGATCCTCAAGGAAATCCAGTTGTCAATTTTACACTCTGGAAATACTATGTACTGTTTAGGCTGAGCCATTTTAGTATGCAGAAAATAAATGGGACAGAGGTAAGCTAAACATTACATCATTTGGAGTAAAAATGTTCCTTTTTAGGGGAAATAGTCATAGAAATGATCAGGAATTTAAGTAACCATGATAGAACTTTTCAGGGAAACTGATTTCTTTTTCAATCTTGACATTTAAAATGTCAAAAAGCTAAAAATCTATTTATCCAAAAACTTCTGAAGCACTAAGCAAAATTTGAAAATCATACCAGGTCATGGTGAATAGTAAATACTTTTACTATTGTTTGTAAGCATTCAGAAAAGAAAAATGTTGGTAGGATGACAGTTCTTAAAAAAGAAGAATGCTTCTGTAGGCGGTGTTATCTTTTTATGTTTCAAAATGCTCTACAGACTGCCTGGTATGCAAGAGGGGATGGGAAAGTAATACCCAATTTTCAGCTAGTAAGGGTCATTGTAGAGGAAAAGAAGAATAAAATGGGGGGAAAAGAAAGTGTACATAGAGAGAGAAGAGTAATTTTTAAAGAAGAGAGATGAGAAGGAGAAATAAGCAAAGGATGAGAGGTAAAAAAAAAGAGGGGAAAAATGAGAGAAAAAGGAAATAAAACAAGCATAAATAAACATCTAGACTTCTTTGTTAATTGTAACAGTGGCCTGTGATGTATCTGCATATTGTGTAACTTGGGTCTGCAGCCTGGATAACTGGAAAATTATTAATGAGAAGTTATGTTCTGATTGATTCTGCTCAGCTCGTCACAAGGGTAATCCCCCAGCTACCAGAAGACCATGCTCTCTTTAAATATCATTTTGGAAGAAAAGAGCAACTATACTTCTTCCTCTTTATGAGGAATTCCTGAACTGAATTTAAATAATCCTCTAAAGGAAAAAAAATCTTTTAACATGCTGTAAATAATATTGCACTTATCTGTTAAAATTCAGAAGTCCACCTTATTAGAAGATGAACTTGTAATCAGCTTTGCTGGAATGATAGTAATAGCAACTGTATGTCTGTGCAGCTGATACACAGTGAGCTCCTTCGCCTAGGACTCCAAAAATCCAGCATACTGTTTAGGGACTGGGAGGTCGCTGGGTCAGGGTGCAAGAGACAAATAAAATTTGCATCAGCTATGGTATGCCTATGACCACAGTATCAGCCATCTGCTGAAGGTGTAGGGCAAATCAGGACCCTTCAGGTGACTATTAATTTCTCCAGCTACTTCTCAAGAGATTTGGTTCAGTCTTGTGCCTCTCATATAGCCTCTTGGTGCTTCCCCAGAGACTGTGAGTCGCTGGCCAGACCTTGTAAGTAGTCCCAAAGGTTTCCTAAGCGAGCCTGGACTGGAAGTAAAATGGCTATTTTGGCTATGGGTAAGTAATTCTCCCTCATTAGTGGACAAACTGTTTTCCCAATTAACCAAAAATAGTGTATTTCCCCACACATGGATCACTACTAGAAGTGTACTGATTATTATAAAACCTTGAAATAGGAATGAATGGTATAATATAACTATGTAAACTAGAGAGGAATTATAAAGAACCAATATAACTTATTCTGATTTAAAGTTCTGAATGTGTCCGTTTCAGGGATATTTGCTACTTCATTAAAAGATCAAAATAAAGCTGCTTATCTCATCTTTGACAATATATAGTAATGTTATACTATGTATCTACTTCTCTTTGTGTAAGAGAGAATGACATCGCTTGAAGTAGAATTAAGTTGAATAATGATCATTAGAAAGAAAAGACGGAGTAGTGGCCGGCACTGGCCACTAGGTGACATGTTAGCTTAAACAATTTAGTTGTCAGCTGAAGGATCTGAGGGAGTAGCAACCTCACTCTGAGAGTCTAGGGAAAGGAAAGACTTATGTTTATAAGGTGCTTGTGAATTATGGGTATGTTTTTCAGAAAATGCCTGTGGAGTGTATTATAGCTCATGTTAAGAATGAATTTCTTAAAGGTCCAAAATTTAGCTTTAGCAAGGGCTGTCAGCCTCAGCTCTGCGGACATACCAGCCCACGTAACTCTGTGGTGCAGGCTATGCACGGTAGGGTGTTTAGCAGCACCCCTGGCCTCCACCCACCAGATGCTAGTGCCACCCTTCCACCAGTTGTGATAACCGAAAAGGTCTCTAAATATTACCAAATGTTTCCTGTGGCCAAAATGGTCCCTAGTTGGGAACCACTGAATGATACAGACAAACTCATAGTATTTAAAATATAAACAACACCATTTTATATTAAAAAATATGCCCACATATTAATCCAAGTCCTGCTTTTAGCTTTTAGTACTTTCCTGGTTAACATAGGAATGAGCCAGCCCAAAGAATACCTGTGACAAGTTATTCCTTGTGGGAAGAAAGGCAGATATAACTTCAGAATGAACAAGAGTGGTTTTGATATTTCAATGTTCTGTATCTCAAGAAGGGGCAAAATTATCCTTAGAGAAGCAAGGTAAAAACAACCCCTTGGCTTACCTTTGACACATTATTAAAATGAATTTATTCCATTGAGATTTTAGAATTTTTTCCCTGAATTATTCTACTCCAATAAGATATAGGATTTCTGAAAAAAAAATTCATTATGAATTTAAGGTTCTTCAAGTATAGTTCTTAGGAAACATGGCTTCTAACTCTGAGCTAATGAATCACCACCCAGTAATCCTCCATTACCATAGGCCACATTTTTATGTCTTCTGGTTAAGCCCAGGGAAGAAAGAGAAATACTCATAAGAACTTTCTTCTTACAACCCAGGAAAAGGGACTTTCCTGAGCTAAGAGAAAATATTTAATTTGGACATTTCTTTGGAATTATGTTGTTGTATCAGCTAAAAGACAATGTCATTTTTGACCCCTCCATTTTATCTCTTCAGGTAACACAGAATGATATGGTAATGGCTGAAAGACTCTTTGGAATCCTAGCACATGTAGCATCTTCTGAGTTACCCCAGTACCGTCTGATTTCAATTCTAGGTGATGCCAGGTAACCTTTACTTCTACAGTTTTTATAGAATTACTGTGCATTAGAAAAAGTAATAAATTCCACATACCTCTTAACTGTGCCATGTATGCATCCCACAAACATTTATCCTAAATTAACTTTGTCGGTGGCCCTCTTCAAAGTCCTGTTCTTGTGTGGCTTATTAGCTAATAACTCAAAGATAACCATTTATAATGTTTCAGATGCTATAAGAGCGGGCTATAGGAGCATAGGAGAGACCTATATTTTAGAAGAACATCAAGGAAGGCTTCACAAAGGAGTAACATTTTATTTGGTTCTTCAGGAGTGAGTAGGAGTTTTCAGGTAGAGGTTCTAGGGGAAAGAGATCTGCAAAGGCACAGAAGTTGTAAATGTTTCTGTACACTTAGAGTGTGGGATGATTGGGAATAGTGATAGGAAATGAAGCTGGAAAGATTGGCTGTGGTTTGATTTTGTAAAGTCCTGCAATCCATGCAAAACAAAAATGAATACTTGTGCATTATAATTGAGCACAACCATTAGCTGATTAGATCATGTTCTAGAAAGGCTGCCATCTGAGCAGCAGATAGAAGGAATAAAAACCAATCAAAAGGCTAGTCTATTGTCCAGGAGAGAGATTATAAAGAACTGAACTAAGTGAGAATGGAGAAGAGGATAATTTGAAACATACTTAGAAGAGGTGACCTGACAGAACACACTGACTGATAGGAATTGGCATGGATGGAGGGAGAAGGGTCAAGGATGGTGCATCAGTCATGATTCAGTTATAATTAAGAGGATTCACACTGGCTAGACTAAGCAGAAGACAATCGGTATACAATGAATTAGTTAAGTGCAAAATCATCGGAAAGATTGGGAAAGCAGACTCTAGACTGGGCGTGGAGATGACTCTCAGAATGATATCACAGAACCAGCCCACCAAGGAAACTGCCCAGGGAGCTGGGTGACCAGAAGACAATTGTCACAGCTGTAACCTTCAGGACCATACCACTGGAACTACATTGGGGATGAAGAAGTTACCCACTCCCCTCCCCAGAACATGACTCCAGAGCCATGTTGTCCTGCTATAATTTATACCAACAAAATAGGTATCTTGTGTGCTACCTTTACTTCCCCACTTAGTTCTATTTCAGATCTTACCCAACTGTATCTATTGGTAGAATCTAAATCCCATAAATAAGACCCACAGAACCACTCTGAAACAAAATACTGAGGGAGGTACTGCTACAAATGAACAGTGAATGCAAGAAATAAGAAGCATTGAATTCAAAACACTGTGGTGTGGAAAGAAATCAGTAAATTTTAGTTGTCTAAAAAATATTCATGCATATTATAAAAACATTTAATAACCCAAAAATAAAAATCCCATAAAATCCTAAGAAGAAGTTAAAATTTGCTGTTTCTTTCTTTCTTTGGGAGAAATAATGGGTACTAATTAACACTAGAAATTAATAGAAAAATACATATGTAACTCCGCATCTTAGAATTTTAGAAGCTACCCTTAGAAAAAAAGATTAGATGTACAATTTCTAAACCACTAAAGGGAAAAAATCACTGATCTGAACAAAGAGCAGGAAGGGAAGAAAAAAGAAAATATCACAATATATATTAATGAATGAATTCCCCTATTAATGTCAGACTGTGTTAAAAATTAAGTTATATGCTGTTTTTGAGACATTCCCTAAAGAAAGCAATATACATAAAAGTTAAAAACAAAGGGCCAGAAGTATGTAAAGGGGCAAATGCCAACAATAAACAAACATGGGAGTATTTATATTAGTTATAATAGAATTGATGATACCAAAAATTCTAGTCCATCAAGAAAGATAATAATGATGAAATTTAATGTAACCAAGATCATACTTCTAAATCTATCAATAAATACAAGTGTACATTGACAAATACACAGTTATTGTGGTAGATATTAATGTATTTGATCAGTGGATCAAATAAACCAAAATAAAAAGATATGGAGGACTTGAATATACAGTTAACATACTTCAACAAATAAATGTATATAGAATTTATTTCTAGAACCTTAGTCCCAATTCAGAAAATAAATCTATTCAAACACCTATGAAATGTTTGTGAAAAAGTGAACATATAATAAACTCAAAGAAAATCTCCATGTATCCCAAAAACTGTACTTACACAGATCACATTCTTTAATCATAGTATCATAAAATTAGAAATTAGGCAAAAATATATCCAGTTAGAATTGGCCAAACAAACAGAACCTAATTTCCAGGAAACAAGATATAAATGCCTTTAAACTTAAAAAAGATAAGGTTTTTTTCTTGACACATTTTTTTCTTGAAGTATAGTTGATATACAATATTATATTGGGTTCGAGTATATAACATAGTGGTTTGACAGTTATATACATTATTAAATACTCACCCCAAGTAACGTATTCACAATCTCTTAACAAAGAAAGATGTTACAGAACTACTGACTATATTATCTATGATGTAGTTTCATCCCTATGACTAATTTATATTACGATTGAGATTTTGTGCCTCTTTATCCCCTCCACGTATTTCCCCCACCCATCCCAACCCCTCCCCCATGGTAACCACCAGTCACTTCTCAGTGTCTGTGAGTCTATAAAAAGATGTGTTTGCCCTCAGTCAAAGTTATAGACATGAGTTAACTCAATGTAATAAAGGCTCTATATGACAAACCCACAGCTTACATTAAATTCAGTGGTGAAAGCTGAAAGTTTCCCTCTAAGATCAGGAACAAGACAAGGATACCCACTTTCACCATTTTTATTCAATATATTATTAGAAGTCCCAGCCACAGCAATTAGATAAGAAAAAGAAATGAAGGGCATCCAAGTTGGAAAGAAAGAATTAAAACTGTCACTGTTTAGAAATGACATTATATATATATATATATATAGACATATATATATGTATATATATGTATATAATATATATATGTATATAATATATGTATATATAAAGCTCCCAATCTAAAAACTATTAGAACTTATTAATGAATAAAGTTAAGTTGCAGGAAGCAAAGTCAATACACAGAAACCTTTCCGTACATAGTAAACTAGCAGAAAGAGGAGTTAAGAAAACAATCCCAATTGCAATTACATCAAAAAGAATAAAATACCTAGGAATAAATTTAACCAAGGAGGTGAAAGACCTGTACACTGAAGATTATAAGACACCAATGAAAGAAATTGAAGAAGACCCAAATAAATGCAAAGACTGTCCATGCTTATGGATTGGAAGAATTAGTATTGTTAAGATGTCCGTACAGTCCAAAGCTATCTACAATGGAATTTTCACAAAACTAGAACAAATAAAGCAAAAATTGACTCTTTGTAATAACCATTTTCTAAGGAAAATCCAAGAACTCAGCTATTAGACTTTTTTAGAACTAATCAGAATATGCAACAAGGAGGCCAGATACTATACCAACACACAAAAATGATTAATGTTTCCTCAAAAATAATAAACAATTGTAAATAATATTAGAAAAAGTAACCCATTTATAGAGGCAATAAAAACTACAAAACACCAAGAAATCCACTTTACACAAAGTTAACTATGAAATAATGAAATTAGGCATAAAAAGGAAATCTGAAAAATGAGATATGCACTGTTGCTGAGTTCTGAGATGTAATATTGTAAAGATGCCAGTTTATCCAAATTAAATCACAGATTTACAAAGTTCCTAATCAAAAATCCCAGTGTGGTATCTCAGTAAACTAAACAAGATGAATTTTGTATCTTACAAAAGTATTCATCATCCAAAGTTTATAAAAATATTCTACTATACTTACTAATATCTCCATAAGTTTTGATGCGTTTAACTCACAAAACTTTAAAAGTTTTATATGATAAAAGACATAAAGTCAAAAAGATGTGAGCAATATAGGGAGCAAGAGACAGGGAGAATATATTTGCAACATATTTAACAAATTTTTTAAGAAGTCTTACAAATTTAGTAACAAAAGGACAGTAAACTTGATAGGATAAAAAGTCAAAATGTATAAATAGAGAATTCACAAAAAGAAATACAAATGGTCAAATAACATAATGAAAGAATAAACTCGAGAGATGCACAAGATGGCAGCATGATTAGGGTGGCAGAAATCTCCTCCCAAAAGCATATATGTTTTGAAAATACAACAAATACAACTATTCCTAAAAGAGAGACCAGAAGATACAGTATAATAGCAGACTACATCTACATCTGCAAGAACCCAGCATCTCACGAAAAGGGTAAGATACAAAGCCATGACCCAGCGGGACCCAAGCACTCCCCCAACCCCAGCTCACTCATCAGAGGAAAAGAATCAGAGTGGGGAGGGAGTGGAAGCACAGGACTGCTAAATAGCCAACCCTAGTAATCTGCACCAGGAGCACAGACACATATTGCATGGTGTACTGGATATTAGAGAAACAGAAAAGTAAAAGCTGAGACAGAGACTGCGAACAGGTCCCCACAGCCAGCTGCCCTGGGACAAAAGAAAAGTGTGCCCTTTAAAAGACTTTAAGGGACAAGGGTTTAACAGTTGGACAAAATTGTCCCGGCACACTCAGTCCAGCAGGTTGAGAATTTAAAGGAACTTCAGGCGCCCTAACCCCTTGGGTGGCAATGCAGCTCCAAAGCTCCTCGTGGTGATAACCAGCCTGCCATTCATTCTGCCTCGCTGGCACTTCAAGCAAACTGGCTGACCTGCCATTGCTGCAGACCGGCTGAGGAGTAGCCCTGCCCACAGCAACCACATAGAGTCTTCTCCCAGTGTGCAGCTAACTGGGCCCGACCCAGAGGCTACCCCCTGCATGCAACTGCCCAGCACATGCAGAGGAAGCCAAAGCAAAGTCCAGAAGGCACAAAGGGATACCATTCTTGCAGAACACACGCCATGCACCTGCAACCCCTGGCAGTGCCCTAGGCTATCCCGAGGGCTGCCCAGCCCATGGTAGCTCAGGGGATTAACCCAGAGACTGCTCCCTGTTTGCAGTTAACCAGCACAG